TTAAAAGATAAAGCGTGTCTCCCATTTCTTTCTCCATACATAATTTGTCATCTAAGACTACGATCGCCCTTATGCTTGTAGGCTCTAAAGTATCCCGATTTGCGCTCACTGAGTGGAACACGACGTTCTCGCGTTTTCGGTCATCATATAGCAGGTCTTCTTTATATTGCACTTATCTCCCTCTGAAGTAAAATTAAATTTCAGCACATATTTCATGTATCGGAATAGCCATCTTTCACTGCTGTTTACTGTCGTTCTCCGATTTAGACCTCAATTAGGATGCAGAAGCTCCAAGTAATCTTAAATTTGCGACACTTTAACTTGAACTGTTGACATCCCGCTCTCAAGGTAACGCACAGCTGATTGGTAGAAAACTTCGGATGCACTAAAGGATAGCAGACCAAGCGGCGTCCACTATGAAGACTATAAAAAGCAACAATACCAGAAAACGGATTTTTCTCACTAACTACTAAATATCCAACAGCTACTACGCCTAGGTGAACAATAAGTCCGCCTAGGTCAGAAAAAGGTTGATTGATCCCCATAGCCGGATGACGTCCAAGCGAGGGGCGGAGCATGAAAGTGCAGCGAGCAGGGAAGAGGGGGGAGGGGTATTTTCACTATCGACGTGACTTAAGTTACTCAACAGACTGGCGCCAGCATGCGTGAGACGAAGGCCGCCACGATGAATAATTACCCCCACCTCCCTACCCCGAGAACTATGTAAACACTATATATATAACTGACCATTTTAGTCCCTGCAACTGTATTGGCCTGATGATGAATTGCTGAAAACACGTGTTTGCCAAATCGAATTTTCAAATTAAAAATGCGCATGGAGCACACGATAAGATGGCTTGAGGATGGACGTACTGTGGGCATAGACCAGTCATAAGTGCCGCCCCTCCCCCTCCCTCCCACCCTCACTTGCGCGTAGACAGCGTTTGTCGTTTTCTCATTTTCTCTGATGATGGCTTCTCGTGTGGAGCCGAAAGCTCAAAAGAACAAAATTGCCGTTCCAGAGATCGCGTCTTCTTCTTCTTTGCAACAGGGGAATATTTGCAGAACATTTGCATAGTTAGATATTTTCCCAAGAAACGGAACAAATTCTCTGGAAAATCTTCGCTACTCGATGGAAGATGCCTGTCGAACGTCAACGAACAAAAAGATCTGGGTATCACTATTGTGCCAT